CGTAACTGGCAAACACTCTGGCACTGGAGAGAAGTCCTCTGCCTCCTTAAATACGGATCTCCTGATGAGCAGATGAGCGACAGGTGGTGCAATCAGCTCCGGCTCCAGGAGATCTCATACGCCCTCTGGTGGAGAAAGTGGACAGACCTCTAGATCCCAACAGTACCCCCCCCTCAACGACCGCCTCCTGGCGGTCCAAAAGAAGTAGATGGCAGAGACTCACGGTATTCATCAATCAGAGCAGGGTCGAGAATGAAAGATCCAGGAACCCAAGTGCGATCCTCCGGACCGTAGCCCTCCCAGTCGACCAGGTACTGCCAGCCACGGCCCCGGCGACGGGAGTCTACGATCCAATGTCCCGGGTGGTTGTAGGGGAGTCGGACGGAGGGCAAAAAGGGCTGGTCAAGAAAAGGCTTAATCTGAGAGACGTGGAATGTGGGATGGATCCGGAGTGAGGATGGCAGATGCAGGCGGACGGCAGACGGGTTGACGATGGACTCGATCTTATACAGACCGATGAACCTGGGAGAGAGCTTACGGGACACGGATTTGAGAGGGATGTCACGTGTGAAGAGCCAAACCTGTTGTCCGGGTGTGTAGGTGGGAACAGGGCGTTGTTTACGGTCAGCGAATCTTTTATTTTGGGCAGATGTCCGGTTCAGAGCGGCAATGGTGTCTTTCCCAATCTTACGGCAACGGCGGATGTGGTGCTGAACTGATGGAACAGAGATTTCCTTTTCGTCGGCGGGGAACAAGGGTGGCTGATATCCTAGGGAGATTTCGAAGGGGGACAGACCGGTTGCAGAAGATGTGTGGGAATTATGTGCGTACTCTACCCAGTGAAGATATTGGCTCCAGTAGATCGGGTTGGTTGAAGTGAAGCATCTCAGGGTTGATTCTAGTTCCTGGTTTAGACGTTCTGTTTGACCATTGGATTGTGGATGATAACCTGATGTTAGGGAGATGTTAGTGTCGAGAGCAGAACAGAAATGTTTCCAGACCTGTGCGGTGAATTGAGGCCCTCTGTCCAACAAAATTTCCTGTGGGATACCATGGAGTTTGAAAACGTGCTTAACGAGGAGCTGTGCTGTCCGGAAGGCAGTCGGAAGTTTTCTGAGGGGAACCGGATGGCAGGCTTTTGAGAATCGATCTATGATTGTGAAGATGGTGGCCATACCTCTGGATGCGGGCAAACCGGTTACAAAATCCACGGCGATGTGAGACTAGGGGCGAGATGGAACAGGTAGCGGATGGAGAGGACCAAAGGGAGGTTAATGTGACAGTTTGTTGCGAGCGCAGACGGGACAGGCTAGGACATACTCCTTCGTATCCTTATGGAGGGATGGCCACCAGAAACGGCGAAAGATCAGGGCTATGGTTCTGCTTACACCAGAGTGAGCTGAAAACTTTGAGGAATGCATCCAGTGAATGAGACGGGACCTAACTGAAACTTGGGCCATTTTTATCAGATCAGAAATTTCCCAGGAGACAGTAGCCATTGTACAGCTGGCAGGGAGAATGGAATCAGGAGTTTCAGGTTTATCAGGAGAATAAAGGCGTGAAAGAGAGTCGGGTTTAATGTTCTTGGAACCAGGCCGGTAGGAAACAATCATGTTAAATCTTGAGAAAAACAGGGACCAATGGGACTGACGGGGATTGGATCGTTTAGCAGATTGAATGTATGATAAGTTTTTGTGATCTGTCCATACCAGAACGGGGTGCTCTGCGCCCTCCAGCCAATGCCGCCATTCTTTCAGAGCCAGTTTAATTGCGAGCAGTTCTCTGTCTCCGACGTCGTAATTTTGCTCTGCGGGCGAAAGTCTGCGGGAGAAAAATGCACATGGATGAGTTCTTTGGTCAGAATTAGATACTTGGGACAAGACTGCCCCCACCCCAGAATCAGAAGCATCCACCTCCAAGATTAACTGCTTGGAGGGGTCAGGTTGGATGAGGATGGGTGCATTTGAAAACAGAGCCTTGAGTTTATTAAATGCAGCCTCTGCAGACCAGTGAAAAGTCCTTTTAACAGATGTCAGAGCAGTCAGAGGCTGAGCTGTCTGGCTGTAGTTGCGGATGAACCTTCTGTAAAAATTTGCAAACCCCAGAAACCTTTATAGCTGTTTTCGGTTCTCGGTAGTGGGCCAGTCCAGAACCGCCTTGATATTGTCCTCAGACGGCTTCACCTGCCCGCCCTCGAGCACAAAACCTAGAAAGGTGACAGATGGACGATGAAACTCATATTTCTCAGCTTTGACAAACCGCTTGTTTTCAAGGAGTCTTTGAAGAACCAAACGGATGTGCCTCTTATGTTCAGACATGTTTCTGGAGTAGATCAGAATGTCATCAATATAGACAAAAACGAAGATGTTCAAAAAATCTCTCAGAACATCGTTAACCAGGGCCTGGAAACAGGCAAGGGCATTGGTCAGACCAAAAGGCATAACTAGATACTCAAATTGCCCTAGAGGAGTTTTAAATGCGGTTTTCCATTCATCTTTTTCTCTGATTCTGAGGAGATGATATGCGTTTCTTAAGTCCAACTTGGTGAAAACTGTGGCTCCTTGGACGTGTTCAAAGGCAGATGCTAACAGGGGTAAAGGGTATTTATTCTTAACTGTAATTTGGTTCAGACCTCTGTAATCAATACAAGGTCGCAGAGATCCATCCTTCTTTCCCACAAAGGAGAAACCGGCCCCGAGAGGAGATGAGGAAGGTCGAATTATACCGGCGGCTAAGGACTCATTAATGTATTTTTCCATGGTCTCCCTCTCGGGCTTGGAGATATTATAGAGCCGACTGTTAGGGAGAGGGGCTCTGGGTAGAAGATCAATAGCACAGTCATAAGGTCTATGCGGGGGAAGAGATAGTGCACTAACCTTACTGAAGACAGGTGCCAGGTCGTGGTAGTCAGGAGGTACTAAGGAATGATCAGGCGGGTCAGCCTCCTGACGACTGGTCGGAGATTGAGTCAAAGGTGCGGCGGAGCGGAGACAGGTTACGTGGCAGGATGCAGACCAGGACTCAACATGTCTTTTGGACCAATTGATGTGTGGGTTATGATGTTGAGGCCACTCAAATCCAAGGACTATGGATGAGCTGGCTGATGGAAACACGAAAAAGGACATGGTCTCTCTGTGGTTA